TATATATATCTCAAGACCTTGCAAGCAAAAATAGGGCATATTCTCCACACTACAAGCCCGTGTTAACAAAAATCAAGTAACCACAAATGATTGTAAACTCTGATTCTCACTTAACTTTTTATGGTTTTTCCTTAAACTTTAATCATGTTTCAAACTAACCATTACACGTTTTCTTGTGTCAAATTTTTGCATTATTTGGAATCTACCGCTGTCCCTACTGCTACTATACAACTTGCATGAAACTAAGAATTTAAATAGGATAAAGTTCTACTGGTAATAAACATTTTATATCAGACAGTGTTGAAACCAAGACGGCACACGTTCCTTTCAAACAGTCTTTTATTCAAAGTTGCTTCGACGAAAAGTTCTTATCGAGTTCCAATAGTGACCTGCCACACTCTGATCAGGTTGTCGGTGTAGCCAGCAAACAGGGTCTGGAAAGAGAGAGATAGAGGAACAGTGATTACTCAAATTCTGTAACTTCAGTGAATCCACTAATATTCAAATTAGTGTTTCTAGCTCCCCTCATATTTGCAGGACTGTCACCATTAGACATCAGAGTTATAAGTGAATGGGTATAATCAACGGGGGTTACACACTAACCCACCAATGGTGGGATTGCAAGACATCTGTACTGAAAAGGTGCGACAGAGCTAAGTGTGTTGTACCTGTCCATCAGCAGACCATGCCAGGGAAGTGCACTGTGGGGGTTCAGCCTTGCTGTTTGTGCTGATCACTTCCTGTCTCAGCTCATCCACAATGACCTTGCCCTCCAGATCCTACACAAGGAGAAGAAAGGCAGGAGGCAGCACAATGAGTTAACTGCTCAGAAGTAGCAAAGAATAAATGGCAGAAGTGAATGCATCTAAAGTTATGTACACAATGTACACACTGATCTAGACTAGAGCTCAGAAACAGCCTCTTTATCATCAAATAATACAGTTGGCATTGGAAGTTTCATCACTGCCCTGTAGCTTTAATAGCCTGTATACGGATAAGATATAGGATGAAGTCTTTACCCAAATCTTGATACTGGGGCCGGTGGCGGCACACAGCCAGTAACGGTTGGGGCTGAAGCAGAGGGCATTGATGGTGTCACCACTGTCCAGGGTGTAGAGGTGCTTGCCCTCATTCAGGTCCCACAGCATGGCCTGACCGTCCTGAAGGAAATGAAAAAGATACTTCAATATCTTTTAATGCATTTGGTAGATTTCTAGGATAGTTACACGACTAACAGCTTGCAACAAGAGAGTCTGCTGCATATTCTTTAACACCAACGCAATGAGCTTTGGAAGTGCAGGTTACACTCAGAAACAGCCTCTTTATCATCACTGCTAAACAGATGCTTTTAACGTTTTCATCACTGCTGAAACCTGCAACTGGTGCTTCAGTTGAGCCCAGAACCATTATTCTGTTGTAGTCTACAATTAAAAAAGTTTATTTCATACCCTTCCACCAGATGCACACAAGGAGCCATCAGGAGACACAGTCACCGTATTCAGGAAGCCAGTGTGGCCGATGTGGTTGGTCTTCAGCTTGCAGTTGGTCAGGTTCCATACCTAGGAGTGAAGGACAGGAGAACTGTATCACATCTGTGGTAGTAGACAGACCATCATATGAAGATAAACCTCAAAATTCTCATCAGTAAGGAGGTCAGCTTTTCCATTCAGGTCAAGTTAAGAGGGGTTTTAAAAAGGAGCAACATACCTTGACCATCTTGTCCCAGCCACAGGAGACAATGATGGGGTTCTGGCTGTTGGGGGAGAAGCGCACGCAGGACACCCACTCAGAGTGGCCCTCATCCTGCAATCAAAAAAAGGGTACATATACACATGCTCAACACAAGATTCTCTGTTTACCCAACATTATGATTTGTTTTTTTAAAGCCACGTGAAATGAAGCAAGGTGGGAAAACCCAGACATCTACATTTCAGCATTTTGTTTGGCTGCTTACTAGCAACATCAACAACCCAGATTATGAACATTTCCAACCAACCAAGGGTCAATGCATCATCTGATGAATGATATTAAAGCATAGCAATGCTGGACATCACACTTAACTGTTATAGAAAGCTAGTCTTGTAAAGGAAAGGTGACTGGGTGAGCAATTGGTACTGTATTTAAGGGAAACTCCGAAATTTAAGGGCAGTTTGGTTTTTCAACTAGTAGGTGCTGCCATGTTTCAATTTCTAATTCAAAGTTACTCAGCAGACTGTCGGTTGAAGTGCATGCTTGGCACCAGCTTGGGGTCCATGTTCCCTTCTTGTTCAGCTGATTTCATTGACATACATCACAAAACTTTCCAACAGGAAATACATAGGGGCCCATTTAGAATATCTGTCAAGTTTTGAAACAGGCTGTACTAAAATCCACTAAAATCTAGCTCCCCCGAAAGAAAGGGGACGACTGCTACTCACAAAAACGTCAACATGGGTTCGCAGCTCACCTGGATGGTGTACTTGCAGACTCCAAGAGTGTTCCATAGCTTGATGGTCTTGTCTCGGGAGCCGGACACAATCTGACGGTTGTCAGCAGAAAAGGCCACGCTCAAAACGTCCTTGGTGTGTCCATAAAAGTGGCGGGAGGTGCTGCCACTGGGGAAACATAACACCAAAACAATTCAGAACTCAAAGGTGTTGCACAATGTAAGATCCCCCAGTTGAAGGAAGCATGTATAGTATCACTACAGCTAAACCAGTGAGAACATTTAAAAAAAAAAAAAGATACACATGTTTATTTAAGAGTTGAAACAGCTTTTTTTCTTGAACCAATGTACCAATGTACAGTACGAGTTAACACTGGAGAATGTACATGTGTAGTATTATGTTCTGGGTTTAAAACAATTCAAAGATGGTATGCACAAGCACTGTAGTTGATCCATAAATACAGCGCCTTTAAGGTTTTCTTTGCAGGATTGTTGGTTATTGTTTGTAAAGATGCCCGCCAGCGAAAGCCAAAGCCAACCCCAGATTCACTCCCACACAGCCATAAGTGTCCCATAAAATAAGAAAATACAGGCAAAGTTGCAGAGTTGACAGAAAAATACACTGCCTCCCCACTCTTGTTTTGAAAATCCTGCACAGTATATCTGTTCCACTGCATGATTTTTTTAATTCCCTGTTTTTTATATGGCTCAGTGAGGGCAAAGCTGCAGATGCAAAGTCCAGCAGAAATGGATGCAACAACTTGGTGACAATGAATTTGCCATATACTAGCAGCATCAGTATTTTCAACACACATTTGGTCATGAGACCTAGAATAGCTGGACGCAAGATCTTCTGGTCCATTACTACCTCCAGTCTACACATTTACTTTGAGTAACATTGTGACACTAAATGGTATATTATCACGAGTTGGTGAACATTTAAGGAGAATCACATAATTAAAGCATATGATTGAAAGGACTTGAGACATTCAGCAATACCGCCCAGCACAGATGCTGGTCACGTGTTACAAAAGGGCTCTATGAGATCCATCAAGTTGCTGCAAAGTCAACCAAAGTGTCTAGCCACATAACTTACACACTGGGTTTGTATCTGATTTGACCTACTGATGGTATAGAAAAGGCTTGCTGCACACCTGGTGCAGCTGGGCTATTAAGAGTCACATTTGATTGATGCCAAGATGACCCAATGCAATGTTAACAGTGTCATTCTGGCATGTTACGTGATTCCTGTGGTTAGGTTACACCAAGCCTAGGTCAAGATTTTGATGTTTTTTAAACACACCTACTTTTCTCCTGGTTTGATAGCTTGTGATGGCAGTGAAATATTAAATTTAAAAGCCAGTCGTAAAAACTTCATGATTTCATTTATCCAGAATTCCTTATCCTCCCAGCAATGAAATCACTATTCTGCAAATCTTTCACGTGAACACAAACATACCATGAAAAGTAAACATACAGAGGAAGCATCTCCCTCTTTACACACCCAGTATCTGACCAGTACTGAAAAGATTTATACTTACGTGGTGAGGTCCCACAGGCGGAGGCTCCCGTCCCAGGCACCGGACAGGGCAAACTGTCCATCTGAGGAGATGACCACATCACTTACGAAGTGAGAGTGGCCCAGCAAAGAGCGCTGGGGGATGCCATAGTTGGTTTCATCACGAGTCAGCTTCCACATGATGATGGACTTGTCTGGAAAACAAATATACAGGTTATTCATTTAACTCAGTGTCCATTTTTTACTATGTCAGGAGCAGATAAAGATCACCATGAAATGTGTTCCCGGGGTCCTATGTTCCCCAGCTCAGTAACCTCTTAACATGACACATTAGGGTGTCCTTTCGAGGGGTTTTATTTTCTTAATATTGCTTTTTGTTCTGTAGGTAAAGTGTTTATTACGATGACATCACTCATTTACAGCCTACTGATGTTACACTCCTTGAAACCTAATTCTACCACAATTTGTGACTTTAGACATTGATATCAGCAGTGGTGCAATGAATTTTTCTACCATCCAAACTGCATTTACAACACCCAT